TATTAATACTAGAGCTTAACACATTTTAGAACTATTTATTGCTTTTTGCATGTTCTTCATTTGTAGTTGTGTTWATGCATTTATTTGAAGATGCCAGATAAATGACGCTTTACTTTTACTGTATTCTGCATTCATGTCCTCYATCTGTTGGTCAACCAGAAGCTTTAAACGCTGACGAGAGGAGGGGTTGTTGGGAGGGAGGAAAACATTTTGGCATTCTACATTTATGTTGCCTTATTGACCGATGACTCACTGGTTTCTCCTTCAGGTTGGAAACCAGTGAGTCTGCTCTCCTCTCTGTTAAGCCTCCGGATTGTAAGGAAGTTTTTTTTTTATCTCTAAAAACAAAGTCAGTGTATTGCAGCAGATCTTTATGACCCAGTTTGAGTTTGTGGTTTTATTATTTTGGGAGCTACTGAGCTGTTTTTTAAGCTCCCTTCAGGACTGCGTTCGTTTGTGTAAAAGTTGTTTATTTGATTAGATTTCCCAGAGTTAGCTCAATGACAATGCGTTTTAGGCCGACCTCTGTTGCACACTAGCTAGCTGGCTAACTCCGAGCTGCAGGTGAAATCAAACKAAAATCAGGAAGAATCGACTCGACCTGCTCCCCCAATGAGGCCAGACATGCTTCTTGTTCCTCTGGCTTAATGTTGAATTGACTACAAGAAGTTTTTTTTTACTTTTGTTAACTTAAAGTCTTATTTATTTTGTTTTGAAAGCAAAACCTATATTGTGTGTTTTTTTTATCTTGTTTCACATAATTTAAGTGCATCTATTGTTTACATTCCAGCGGTTATGTTGATAATCCTGTTTTTATCTTAATATATATGTTCATTTTTATTTCAAAATAAAAAAAAACTTAAAAAACTAAACTTAGCCGACCTCATTTGTGTCATTTTGGTGTGCACTAAACCAAAGATACTTTTAGGTAAAATTGTTGTCATGTTTTTGAGGAGGTAAAAATAACTGCTCATAGTTCTTTAAAATATATTCATCCCAAATAAAGTTAAAATCCTCACATCTTCAACTCTCAGCAACCTCTGATCTTTTTTACACACATAAATAAAACAAAACTTTTTTTGGTTCACATAATTAAAGTGCATCTACTATTTACTTTCCATATATTTCCTCATTTTCTATTTTAAAATAACATCTATTAAGCTAAAGATAATTAGAGTTGAGCTTAGAGACAGATGAGCAAAAGGAGGATTTGTGATYTCACTTGTTTTTTTAAAATAAATAAAGCTCTAATGAAGGTTTGTTAGCTTCCCCACATAACTCTGAGCAGCCTCTGCTCTCATATTATGCTAAATGAAAAGATAAAATGCATTTTTGCCTTGTTTTCTGTGTAAAATCTAACAAACTTCAGGATTCCTGCTGAGCAGGGAGGTTTGGAGCACGTTCCCACGAGCGCCTCTTTRAAAACGCTGCTTCTTCACGATCGTCTGTGACTCGCTGACACACAAAAGGAACAAAGATTAACTCTTTCCCTAACTCGGGACTCTCCCTGGCCTCCCCTCCCCTCTCGGCGTGTTGTCATGTGTGGGAAGAGGAGYGAGTTCTGTCGCAGCTCGTCCGAATATACCAGTTTGGGGTGAGTGACACTGAGGAGAATGTTTGGGCAACAGATGCTCGAACAAAGACTCCCCCRGCACACAATGGGGCACTCAGATACTTGTGACTGATTTCCATCTATTCACACAAAAGTGGAGCAGAAGTTGAGGTCCTCCCCTGTGTGATTGTGTCTGAAAAGTGTGAATTTAAACTGAATTTCCTGAGGCCGAAGCTATTTTAGAGGAAAACTTTGTGCAATAAGGCAACCAAATCAAACAAAAGCAGAAGAAAAACTTTCATGAGGATCCAGAACTGGTTGAAGTGAAATGAAAATGATGAAAATTCATCCATCACAGGAAAATCGGTCAGTTGGGATCCTGTTTGTGTGTGTGGTGGCATTCAGCTGTGGTCAGAGCCAAGATTTCACTGATGAATGAATAACAGCAGCAGCAGCAGACTCCCACAACCCCCACAGATACTTACCATTCAATCCCAGGGGTGTGTGTGTGTGTGTGTGTGTGTGTGTGCGCGTGTGTGTGTGTGCGTGTGTGTACGCTTCTGCGAAAGGCCAAGGGCCATCTCGGAGCCGCCCCCCGAAAGGCCTCACCTCCCCTCCTGGTCATGCAGCTCTATTGTGCACCTCCCCTTCCCTTTTCAGTCTAACATCTGTATGCTAATGTAGCCCAATGGGAGCGGACTGGAATCAGGCTGGGAGCAGRGCTGGAGGGGAGGCCTCCCTGGGAGCAGTGGGTGAATGGAGAAATTTGGGAGAGGGTTTGTGGCAGTGCTTGAGACAGAAAAACAAGAATTGTTGCTTCCTGGATGGAGTTTAGAAGGAGTTTTGTAAAGCTGAGTGGATAAATGTGTGCAGAGGTCTCTCTGGATTCTGCATTCCTTCACAGTTTACACATTTCTACACAAAGCAGACACAGTTTCACAAATTAACCACCTGAAGATGATGAGAGCCTCAGGGAACTCGCTGCAGAAAACATAATCAAGTCTTTATACTGCAGAGAAAATGTTTTTTTCTTCTAAAGATTGATCAGAAAGTCATCCGATGCAAACCAGTTAACAAATCTATCATTTAAGTGTGTTTGCTGTGGTGACCCTGCAGAAGAGAGCAGCCAAGAGTCGTTTACGTCTACTCTGAGCAGTGGGCTTTTATGTTTTTCATTTGATGTGGYTCCTGAGCACTGCAGCTTAAATCTTGAACCTGAGTCTGGCTCAGTGTAAGGCAGTCAAATGTGCTTTTTTCCAAAGGGAACAAAGATGATAATAATATGGTGATTAATGGCAAACTAAATGCATTTGCTGTTTTACTAGTCTCCCCCTTTTAACTGATTAAATGCTAAATTAGTAGCAGAAGAAAGCAGCAAAACTTCCTTTTATTGAAAAGTATTAGTGCAGCTCCATCTGCTGGTTCACATGGAGCACAGCAAGAGTCAAAATACAAAACTTGGCTTTACTTAATCACATTTGTCCTTAAATCCGTATTATTCTTTGTTACTGGGAATTAATCCACAAAGACTTCAGTGTTTAACAGTTAATAGAAACATGATACATAATCTTGAAAAATAAAATGAGTTTGAAGGATAAAAACTGAGTAAATGTTCCTGATTTAACCAGAGTCTCCACACTATCATCCTATTTAAACAAATAAAATACAATAAGAACACGAWCTCTGTTAGAAATAAAGTCTCAACCTTTGAGACCCCTGAACACAGACAAACACCCTGAAGTTAAACCACGCCCACTTCCTGTCAGATTAATAATGTTGCTCAACATGAACTCAGATAAACATCACTCAGCGTCCTCAGGCAAACTCTTTAAAAAGAAAAAGAATTGAATAGTTTAAGTTTTTCCTGGATGCATCAATCAAGTTTATTTATAGCACATTTCAGCAACAAGGCAGTTCAAAGTGCTTTACATCGTAAAACACAAAAAATACAAAGTCAGAGAACACAGTTACCAATTAAAGTATTACAGTTTGTCAGGTGATATTGTTACACATCAACATGTTTATTAATGTTTCATTTATAATGTGTCATAAGTAACTCTAAACAGGTGGGTTTTCACTCTGGATTTAAAGGATCAGAGTTTCGGCTGTTTTACAGTTTTCTGGGAATTTGTTCCAGATTTGCGGTGCATAAAAGCTGAATGCT